AGTGTCAGTCTGTCCCAGATTATCTCAAAAAATTAGTTTCGTCATTCTCAACAGGTACACAGGAGTTTCAAAGAAGATAATCACAATTTATCCTTATAAATCTCTAAGGATATAAATATTAAAAAGAAGTTTTACATTATACAAGTATGCTTCAATAGTTGTCTTATGACATGTGTATTAAGAATTCTTCATATGTTAGCATACATTTATATTTTCAGTCTACTGTCTTTCCAAGCATTTCTTTTGTTTTCCTTTTTGTGTGTGGGGCTTATTTTTTTTTTTTTTTTGCTTTTGTTGAAAACGGATTTTTTCCCCTCACATAGTATATGCCCCGTCTGTTGTTTTCCCTCCCTTTACTCTTCGCAGGTCCTCCCTAACTCCTCTCTTATCCAAGTCTACCCCAGTTCTGTCTCTTATTAAGAAATGAATAGGTTTCTATAGGATAATAATAAAATAAGGTAAAATAAAAACTAACACATCAGAATTGTACAAAATAAACAAACCAAAGGAAAGAGCCAAAGAGAAGACACAAGAAACAGACCAACTCATTCACACACTCAGGGATCCCATAAGAACACTAAATTGTAAGTCATAATACATACACAAAGGAACTGTAAGGCAAAAAGAGGGTAAGAAAAAATATATATATATCTTTTTTTAATAAAAAGAAGAGCGCTTACATGACATTATTAAACAAGGAGCCTCCAAAGATGCCACTGGGTTTGTTTTCTGTTGGTTGTCTATTGCTGGGCATGCAGCCTACACTTAAGAATAGTTTGTTTCCACAGTGATATTCTCTAGGGGAAAACTAAATTTTCATTTGCAAATGGGTATCAATTGGAGATTGCTTCTGAGTTATGGATGGGGGCATGTGCCGTCTTCTTTCAATTCTAATACTTCAACGGGGGCAGACCCATGCAGGCCCTGTAAATGCTGCATCAGTGTCTTTGAGTTCATATGTGTTTTGATCATGTTGCCTCGGAAGGCCTTTTTTTTTTCTTGGTGTTCTCTATCCTCTCTGGATCTTACATTCGTTCTGCCTTCTTTTCTGCAGGATTCCCTGAGTCCCTGATTTGATGGAGGCCTCCCATTTAGTTCTGAGTGTTCCACGGTTCCTTACTTTTCTGCACTTTGTGCAGCTGTGGGTTTCTGTATTTGTTTCAACCTGCTGTAGGAGGAAGCTTCTCTGATGATAGCTGAATAAGGAACTGATCTGTTTCCTGGCCTGAGTCCCAAGAAAATTTTGTAAACTACCCATATATCAGTTACTAAACAATGATGAATGTGAGTCCCAATGTGCTTGATCATAGACAGATTATTAATGACTTATGATACCTTAAATTGTAGTATGTGAAATTGACTGTTTTTGAACCAAAGACTAATTGTATTGAAGTCAAACCAATGGCACATCATAAATAATTCCTGCCCTGCTTCTTCTCTTCCTAATAAAATCGTTCAACTTTATGGTAATGCTTTGCAAATATTAATTTATTCTTATTCTTTAAGAATATTGTCTTTACTATTGCTATAACCTGAATGCTGTGTTCTGCTGATAAAATTTCTTCCCATGAAGAGATGTAAGCAAGGTCTACTCCTGTTAGTGTCCCAATGACAAATCAATGTGTACTTCCACTAAAGTACCCTGGAAACCAATGAGTTTATTGGGCCTCCTTATAGAGCATAGGTGAGTGTCTACTTATAGGAGTGTGGGTGCTTCTCTCCAAATAAGCCATATCAAAAAGGCTTTACCTAGCACAGGGATGAGGGCTTCCCCACAGCTTCTTAGATGGAGCCCCTACTTCCCACAGTTGTCCTCACCTCTAAGTTCTACTCCTTCTTCTAGGTCATGTGCAATTAAGACATAGTAGTATATACCAGTTGGTTAGGGGCTGCTGGATGCTCAGGTGAGGGTTTCATGACCCTCCCCATAGTCCAAAAGGGGATATAAACAGTCAAGAAGCCCACCCCAGATAGTGCTTTTGCAAGGAGGCACAGCTGAACTCAAGATGGTGGTTGTTTTGCTCCAGGGATAGTCACAGCATACTGTCAATAAGTTAATATAGTGAAATATAAACCAAAGTGATAGTATTGGGAGGTAGAGCCTTTCCTCTAAGAGACAGTTGGGTCATGTGATCAAAGCCCTTGTGAATGAAATTAATGATTTATAAAGTTTAAAAATGAATATGCTATGATCATTGGATTCACTGAGGCAGAACATTCCCTACATTTGGGGAAACCTGGGCCACAGGTTTTCCCAGGGTACACACTAAGACTATCTCAAGAGACTGCTCAGAGTTACTGGAAGTTGCCTTTTTGTGGTTGGCTTATATTGCAGCATGCTATCCCAATTTCACACATATTGCAGTGTATATGAAGATTATGTATTCACTTTGTCTTTAAATATATTTTTATTTATTGTTTGAGGATTTCATGATTGCATATAATGTGTTTCAGGCAAATCAACTTCTAATTCCTTTCCTCTTAACTATTCACAGAACTCCCCCACCCCATGTTCCCCTCTCAATTTTCATGTATTTGTTTTGTTTATTAAATCACTGAGTCCAGTGTGTTCTGCCTGTATATGCATGCCTATGAAGCCATCCACAGGAGTGCCAATCTCCTAACTAGGGTGGCACATTTCCATCTCCAATATATTATCTTAATTGACATCAGTTGTAATTAGTACTATGCTTTGAGTTATTTTCCTCATTCTTTCTTCCCTTTGTCTTCTTCTACTGTTTCCCCCTTTTACTTGGAAGCATCCTAATTTAAAAGAAATTTAAAAGTGTGTTTGTGTGTGTGTGTGTGAGAGAGAGAGACAGAGAGAGAGACAGAGACAGAGGCAGAGAAACAGAGTGCACATTTGTTCAAGGAGGACAGAAGAAAGCATGTCAAGTAATGGAAATTAAAATGTGATCATAGCATCTAACTGGGTTCAATGGGTAGAGAATAATAAGTTCAGTTGGATGAGGAATCTGAAAGGATAGTGGAAAGTAGGTCCAAAAAGCAGGGAACCAGATTGTGGCAGCCCCTGGGATGTGGATTTGGGAACATCCAGTTGTTATGTGCAAGGGCACATGAGCCAGTTAAAGATGGAACCAAAGAGAAGTCAGAAGTTGTTTACAAAAAAGGATGATTGTTTGCCAGGATCGTACCAGACGAGGTCACTGCATGAATAGCTAGGAAAGCATAGGGCACCATAGACTGACCTTTAAAACAATTGACTGACTGTGTTCCCCATCTCCTCACTGATGGGAGATGTCCTTCTGTAAATCTGTCTCTCTTATTGGCTGTTAGATAAAGTACTGTTGGCCAATAGGGAAGCAAGATAGGTGGGACTAGGAGTCTAGGAGGATTCTGGGAAATGTAGTGAACCGTCAGTCGCCATGTGATTTCTGGGAAGAGGGGATGCAAGTCTGCGTTCTTGGAAAGATAAGTCCTTACAAAAATATATATTGGTGATTATGGGTCAATAATTAAGTCAGAGATAGCCAATGAGAAACAACAGCAAATGGCCAACAGCTTCATAATTAATATAGCATCCTGTTATTTGCTGGTTCAGACAGCTTGGCAGGGCTCAGGCAGTTGGCGGAGAAAACTACACATTACACCTCACTGTGTTTTTTTGCTTTAAAAGATGCTTGCTGTAGGGCAATAAAGGAGTTCCTAATGACTTGACTCCCATCTGTGTCTGATTGTCTCTAGGATTGTGGGATTCTGGGGAACTTACCCTTCCTTGGACCCAGCTCAGCCTTCTGCAGTTAGGCTAAGACCCTGCAGTGCATGTATTCAAGTTTGTAGAGAGGAGCTGAGGTGTCAAGGCACTTCAGCAACACTATCCACGCAGTGACCCCTACAGCACACTCAAGGGGAAAATGCTAGAACACAGTGTGCCCCTAAAGTGCTGTGGGTAACAGTGTTAGTGAGGGAGAAATTAGGGTAAGAATGGACAATTCAAAGCTAAGGCTCCTGACAGTATTTCAAACACAAATGCTGATGAAATGAACTCTTGGGAGGAAAATGAGAATACTGAAACATGTTGAAATTGTGTTCCCAAGTGTCCAAATTTTGACTATTGAATTTAGTGGGAAAAAAAAAGCACAGCTGTTTAGGCATCCTATTATTTGCTCTGTTTTTTGTTTGAGTTTGTTTTTGTTTTTTTCGTGTTGTATTTTTCTTTTTGGAACTAGATCTTATGCTAACACCAAACACATTCCGTAGAATAACACAGTTCTTTTGCTCTCTGTTAAGCAATACCTGGAATAGATTCATGTTACACTTCACAACTAATAAGTGGGTGAAACAAAGTCTTTATCTTTTACAAGAAGTGATTCTGGTTTGGATAAATATTGAATGAATAGGCAAATCATTCTTTATTAAGGATATTGCCTAAGGCGAACTAAAAGGAGGGCTTCGAGTATAGCTCAGTCGGTAGACTGCCTTTGTGCACAAGGCCGTGTTCAGTCTCCCAAATCACAAGACAGGGTGTGTGGCACACTGGCATATACCTGTATTCTCTGCACTTGGGAGGTAGAAGCAGGAGAATCACAAGTCCAAGGCCATCCTTGGCCGTGTATTTGCCACCAGCCTGGGATACATGAGACAATGAATTTAAAAATAAAATATTTAAAAAGTTTCAAATTTGGTAACATTGATGATTTCTTTTTAAATTTAATTCTGTTGCAACTATTTTTAAAGCCTTGACTTTGAAAGACCTATAGCCACTATGCAATCACAAGCATCAGGAATAGTCCATAAACCCTGCCACCTGGTAATCATTTTTAATTTCATGAGGCAGGTTCCCTCCTTAGATCCATACTTCGTAACTGCAACTAAAATGGAGAAATGTGTTGGGTCCCTTGAAAGCAAAATTCGGATTACATTTGTGAAGTTATTCACTTTTCGTGAGGCATGATTTATTGAAAGCTTGGTCATTTAAATTGGTAAGGATTATCTGCAATAAAGTATTTGAAAGTGACACTACTTAGAACTACCAGGAAAAGAAGAAAAATAATATTTTATTGCAAATTGCTACTTTCAGATATCAGTTTTCATTTCCCATGAAAAGATATAGAGCTGCGGAATTACCAACTTCCACATTCCCCCACTGAGTGAGCCTTAAAGAGCACTGTAATTTCATGCATAAAATATTTCTTGCAGCATATGATAACACTAGAGCTCTGGGAGGCTGGCAGAAAATAGGAAAGGAGGTAGTTAGAGGAAAGGGTGTGTGTGTAAACTACTGAACACAGGCTTCCAAATTAAATTAGCCAAATAGCTTGCAAGATCACCTCATATTATCTCATCTCTAACCGCTCCTTTTCTGAAAGTCACTATAGCTACCTTATGACATGGACTTTAATCACTTTCCTAGATACTAGTGTTAGCATACATGTGACAGAATTCTGAAGTAGTAACTGATTATTGTGCATTTATCTATGCTAGGAACCAGACCAAAGAGAAGTCTTACACGAAAATGTATTTAGTTCTGTTAGGGATAGTTAACTTTGCTTGTTTTAGTGTGGAAAGCATTTACATTCAGAACTTGCTAAAGAATGCAAGCACCAAGATATTCCAAAGTGTTAAATTGATAGAACATTAAAACTAACTTCACAGAGACATGGTGTAAAGTGAGACAAGTCAGAGCTACATGTAACCCTGTCTCAAAAAAGCAAATAAGTAAATAAATAAATAAAGCAGTTTATGAATCTGAACATGGATTGCTTATTACTTTTAGTGGCACACAGGATGATAGAAGCTTTATTGAACAATATTTGCCTTATGTGCTATACATCTTTTTCTCTTAATTGAAAAATGTCAGTGGATACATATTATGTACATGGATGATCAGGGTAGCAAGTATATATACTACAAAAAATGCCATCTGGGGGGAAATACTTAAATCCTGCTATTTTTGAAATATACAATTCATCATTGCCCACCACAATGCTTTACTAGTTATCATAGCAACCACAGTTGTTTATACATCATTTGTCTTGTTTAGCACACTACTTCTTAACTACCTTCCCTTTATAACTGCTTCTGTCATTCCTTGTAACTGTCATGGTATATTCCTCATCCATGTCATGAGAGAAAACACAGTGTTTGTCTTTCTATGTCGATGTCATTTCACTCAATGTAATCTACAAGCTCATCCATGTTGCTGCAAATGGCAGGAGTTTGTGCCTTTATGACTAAATAGTATCCCACTGTTAAATATTTCATATATTTTCTGTATCCATCTATCAGTGGATTCCTAGATTACTTTCACATGTTGGCTATCATCTGGGAGGAAGTTGTTTGTTTTACCATACTGAGTTCGGGTTCTTTGGGTACACACAGTGGAATTGCCAAATCATGTGGTAATTCTAATTCTTGTACTGTGGAAAAAACAACCTGTTTTCTATAATGGTTGTACTAATTTGTATCCTAGTCAATAGTATGTACAGATTCCTTTCTTTATGTCTTTGCCAGCACTAGCCATTTAAAAAAATTATTGCCAATATTACTTTTTGTGTGTTTGCATACATGTGCATGTGTGTGTGTGTGTGTGTGTGTGTGTGCGTGCATAGGGGTGCATGATACTGCACATATGTGGTTGTCAGAGAAGACTTTGTGGAGTTATGAGGGAACAACAGACCTTGGTCGGAGGCCCACTGGCCCATCAGCCTGGGAGCAGGCAGCTGTAAGACAATGTTTACTAAAAACAATATGGTACCGGGGAGCAATAAGTTTCTGATAAGGGCTTGCCCACGGGAACACACTGACCTTGACCTTTTCCAAAGACCCATCCACTGCCTCCTCTGGGGTCAGGGCAAATAATAACCAGCCAAGGTAAGAAAAGTGAAGCCATCTTGAGGAGCCTTCGGAAAAGCCTTCTTGAAGTTTTCTTTGCACCACCGACTGGTCTCTGTGTCATCAATCCCGACACCCTCTGCACATTCTCGGACACAGGCTGCGCAGCAGAGTTAGTCATCATTCCACTATTCCATTGGATTCTGGAGATCAAACTCAGGTCAGCAGGTTTGTACTTTCACTCCATTAGCCATCACCAACCCTCTACTTGTTATTCTTACTCAGTCTTTGCTTTTAGACTGTGTCTCACTATGTAGCCCAGCTGGCCTTGACCTCCTGGAGAACTTTACCCTGTCTCTCAAATACTCAGATTAAAGAAAGGCATGTACTTTGTCATCTGTAAGTTTTTCTGATAATTACTATTATAATTGAGTGAAGTGACACCTAATTTGCGTTATGATGCGTAATTCCAAGTAACTATAAAATTTCCACGGTTCCCTTTGCCTTTGTTTTATAATTTCCATTGTAGATTTTATTTTTAACGTGTTGGGACCTTGTTTCATGCATGAAAGCATGGTCTGTCTTGAAGAACATTTCAGTTGAGTCAACAAAAAGGATGCGCATGCTTCAGCACTGGACAGTGTTCTCAGATGGGAGTCCTCAAGGTTGAGAGTCTGTTAAGTCAACTCTGGGTTGCATTGCGTATTTGGCCCCTGGGTCCTTCCCTGTCTTCTATTGGTCTTGTTGAGTAAATCACCTCCATACTTGCTTGCCATGTCTTCTCAAAATCTCTTCTAGGAGCAATAAGTATGGTCTCAGGGAACTTGATTTCCCTTTTCAGCCTACCTTTTCTGTCCCTCTTTTTGGGTGTATATGGGTATACAGTTGGTATGTCCTCTTGTTTGTTAGTAATAACCTTGTCTGTATTACAGTTTTAATACTGTTTCTTTGGGGTGTGTCATCCTGGATACAAGCTTTTCCCACTCCTCTGTGTTTCTGTTAGTGTGGGGCTTGTTTTCTGTCCCTTCACTTTCAGTCAGCTTGTCCTTAGTATTTGTCCTTGGGTTTCTATTACTGTGAAGAGACACCTTGACCTCAGCAACTCTTGTAAAGGAAAATATTTAATTGTGGGTGGCTTACAGTTCAGAGGTTCAGTCCATTATCATCATGGCTGGACATGGTGGTGCAGACAGACATGGTGCAGGAGATGGAGTTGAAAGAAGTTCTACATCTTGATCCGCAATCAGCAGAAGCAGACTGTGTGTCACATTGGGTGTAGCTTTAGCATATATGAGACCTCAAAGCTTGCCCCTACAGTGACACACTACCTTAAACAAGGCCACACGTCCTAATAATGCCATTCCCTATGGCTGAGCATCCAAACACATAAGCTCTATGGGGGCATACCTATTCAAATCACCACAGAATAAAATTGAATTTCATGTATAGGTTCCCTACAGTTGGGGTATGCTTCCTCTTGCTTTTTAGTTTTATCCCTTTGGATAATCTGTATATTTCATTTTATTTATATATTTGTATTTTAGAGATAAGATGTTGGTGCACATACCAGGCTGACCTTAAACTCATTATGAAGACTAGATTACCTCAGATTTCAGTCTTTTTGTGTCTTCCTCATAAGAACTGAGATTTTAGGCATGTACCACCACTATGCTTGGTAGTCAACCTACACATTTCACTTGAGAACTTAATCCACTTAACATTTTAGACTATTACTGATTGTAGTGGCCTACCCTTGTCATTGAATTAATAATTGTCAAATAACCTTTGTTGTTCTTGCTCTTTCACTGTCTGTGTATAGCCTGGTGTTTTCTGTTTTAATTTCTTTCCTTTGTGTGTCTCTTTTAGCATGCATTCCACACATTCACAATGACAATTACCATCCTGTTATATCTCGATTTAGCATTCCCTTAGATATCCTCTTATTGCTGACCTGCTGGAAGTGAGTTTCTTAGATTCCCTTGCCTGAGCAAAAAGATTTCTCCTTCATGTCCAGAGAGTAACTGTGCTGGCCCAAGATCTTTCAACACCCAAGGTATTTCATTCTCTTCTGGAACAGTCTCTTCTAAGAAATCTACCTGGGTCTACTGGTTATTCCCTAGTGTCTAGGTGCCTTTCCTGTTGCTGTAATAAGTTGACAAAAGCAACTTAAGAGAGAAAGGGTTTATTCTACACACAGATGCAGTATGTAGTTGGTCATGGTGGGGAAGTGAAAGTGACAGGAACTAAAATGTGCCTGGTCTCATTGCACCCACATTTAGGAACAGGGTGAGAAATGCTTGTGCTCAGTTCCCCTTCTTTCTGTGAAGTCCAGGACTCAAGGTCAGAGCACCTGCTATGATGGGTCTACTGAAAATAATCTTCACAGGCATTACCAGAGGCGAAATAATCACACACAGGTTTGCTTGGAGGTCCAGCCCCGATGTGATTCCAGATCCTGTCAGCTTGAAAACACCAATGACTCCACTTAATGTGTGAGTTGGTACCTTTTTTGCCTATTGATTTTAGAATTTTCTCTCTTGAGTTTGGAGAGGACCTCCTCCATTTGAATCTAATTAATATTCTGTGATTGTCATGGGTCTGGATGCCCATCTTTCTCTCAAGACTTGGTAGGTTTTCTGTTATTTCACTAAATGTGTTTTCTGTTTCTTTCTTCAGATCTTCTGTGGAATTTTGGTAATGTAAATATTTGGTCACCAAATGATTGCCCACAGATGTCACAGGCTTTCTCTCCTCCTCCCCAGGGTTTGTAAATTTTCTCTTTGGGATTATTTATTCATTTATTTTGTGATGGCAGAATTAATGGTTTTCCTGACTCCTTGATATTTTATGTTTCTTGTGCACCTGCATTGATATCTGTGCATTTAGGATAGCACTTCTTTTTTTTTTTTTTCCTACAGAGACTTTTATTGTGTATATTGACTTGCACTAGTGTGTTGGCTATGTATGTTGGGTGTTGTGATTTTTTTGTTTATTTCTTTACTCTTTGCATCAGTTATCTGGGCTGTAGGTATTTGTTGCTACAGTTCTATGGTATGATTTTCTTGGAGCGAGGTTGCCATCTGATTGACTGACAGGCTAGCCATAGATGCTCCTGCAGGGAAAATGAGAGGTTATGTATACGATTAAAACACATTACATGCACGTATGAACTTATCAAAGAATAAAAAAAACTAATTCAAAACATTATTGCTTAAATGAAAAGGTATTTTGTGGCTTTTGTGCACACTGTATTTCTCTTCTTCCTCCACTGTCCTGACCATCCCTCTTTAACAAATGACCTCTCTTTCTATGTATGCAATTATCCAGTTCACGTTGACCTGTTTGCTGTTTGTACCAGTTTAGGATTTCTGTATTGTCCCTGAAAAACAACAATAAATACAACAAAATCAAAAGCTAAATTCGTTCTTCCTCGCACAGCAGTATTGACTACCTGTGGTTCTTCATTTAGCGTTGGGTCCTTGTGATGAGTTGACTAGTATGGTTTTTGTACATGTTGTGCAGGCATCCGTGATGTTGAGAGTTCATGGGTACAACATCCTTGTCCAATCTAGAAGAAACTATCATGAAGTAGTTGTTCTGGACCTTAGGATCTCACACTCTATCCACTCCCTTTTCTGCTATGTTCCCTGAGTCTTAGATATAGGAGTTATAAGTATCTCATTTGGAGTTTGGCATCTCATGGTCACTTTTTCTCTGCATTCAACAGGTTCTGCGTCTCTCTAACAGTATCCATCTGCTGCAGAAAGAAGCTTCTTTGATAAGATGTGGGAGCTGCACTTACCTAGGGGTATAAGGATGAGTATTCAGCAGACTACAGTTCTTACTTTAATTCTCCTCTAGGACTTATGATATCTCAGGCATTAAACCAACTGAGTGGGCTTTAGGTTCAATTAGACAGCTATTGGTTGTCCCTATAATATAATTGCCACTATTGCATAATTGAGGATATATTGTTCATCCTGTCATTGCTGCAGCTCCTAAGCTTTACAGTGGGTAGGCAACTGATATGTTTTGTCTGTTGGCCGCATGAACTCCCAACACTATGAGAGCTCTCAGGGAGGAGGCTTTTATGCCAGCTCCAGCTTGATTCCTCCAAACCTGTGACCAAAATGTACGATATCTCAAGCAATTGTGTGTTATCTTCATGTTAATGATATAGCCTATATTGTTTTGGATGTCTCTTGGATACCACTGACCAATAACTTGAATGGAGGTATTACCTTCTGTGCAGTGCGTTTCTTTTAGATAATCCTTGGTGTCTATGATACGTATTGTCCTGCCATGTGGGGGTAACTGCATTGAAAATATCATCTGTCTGTTTGTCTTTGTATTTTATGTGCATTTAAAAATATTCTTTAAAAACATAGGATACCAACATTTACAAACATTACAATCTTAAACTCATCTCTGAGGCTGAGCCAGAGAATATTGATCTTAAGTAGGCAATTTCAGGTTGGGGACACCAAAAACACCCTTTTTGTAGAGAACCTATCAATGGGGGTGAGGAGGCTGTCTAAGCCCATTTCTTCATCTTTGCATTGAGGACATCATCTATGATTCTACCAAGGTTTGCTGTTTTTGGTTGTGTGACTTGACAGATACTTTTGGTTTGTAAAGAAGTTCAGTAGTGCCAGAAATAACTAGTACTTTGCCTAGCAGAAACCTGGTCATAAGTTCTGCAAGAGTGTTTTTCCTCCTAGAGAGTTTGTGTACCAGGCTTTCTCGTTTTTGGGCCACCAACTAGCTCCCAAATCATGACACAGAGACTTCTTATTAGTTGTGAATGCTTGGTCTAGCTTAGGCTTGTTTCTGGCTAGCTCTTTTAACTTAAATTAACCTGTTTCTGTATATCTACATTTTGCCACGGGAGTTTTTACTTTTCTTTCTTTCTGCATGTCTTACTTTCATTGTCTCTTGTGTCTGGCTTTTGGCAGTTTCCGGACTTCTTGCCCCAGGCATGTCCCTTCTTTTTTCTTGTTCTCTTCTGTCTTCTTACTTAGTTCTACCTTGAGCCTAGATTTCTCTTCATATTTATTCTGTCTGCCTACTAGCCCCACTTATCCTTCCTCTGCTTAGCTATTGGTCATTCAGCTCTTTATTATACCAATCAGGTGCCTTAGGCAGGTAAGGTGAAACAAATGCTATACTTAGCGTTACACATATATTAAACATACATTCTTACATTGTTAACAAATGAGCACAAACAAATGTAACACATTTTTACATTGCTAAAATAATATTCTGCAGTATAAACAAATGTAACCCATCTTTGCCCAATTAAAATAATATTCCCCAACAAGTTTGGTTAGAAATTACTTCAGACTGCAATCAAATATATATTTAAAGCAATTTTGTTATATTGTTTTCTCCTCTTCTCATTGGAATGTCTGGGTCAACTCAAAACCTAGCTGACTGTATGTTTCACCAATTCTTTCAGCTTTAGGTTATGGATATACTCAATATAGACTTTTATGGCACATTGTAGGCACTCAGTATATGAAGATTTACTCTAGGTGTTTTCCTCTGCTCCTTTGACTTCTTGTCAACACATGTTGTACCCTATGAACACTAGCTTTTGTAGTGATATGACAAATGATTTTTCCTTCAGCTTTCCTCTTTAAAGTGTAACTCATTTTAGTTCCATCCACTTATAGACCTTTTCCTTATTAAATATGTGCATGTATGATATCTACATCTCCTTACTTTAGGCATCATCTCTCCATAGTGCTATCAATATTTCTCAATAATTGTCACAGATCTCCAGAACATCCCACTGCATTCCTTAATACAACATTGTGCCACCTGTAGCCAAATTTTTGATCAGAAGATACAGATGATTTGGGAAATTTTGAAACAGGCAAGGTATAAGCTGCTTTTCAAAAACCACTGACTTATCACTTGGGCCCGTATCTATGTGCATTTATGGAGATCTACCTGTGCCCTGCTGGAAGGCAGTATCCATAGTGTGAGACTATTGAAACTGTGGTGTTCATGTGGTGTCCTATCTTAGGTGTCTCAGTTTATGCAGCAGGATTTGGAGCTATATTGGGTATGAAGCAGTTGTAGAAGGTTTCTCCATTTGTACAAGTAGATGCCACCAACTGTCCAGCACCTACCTGTAGGCAAAAATTGGTAACTGCTTTATCCCCACAAAAGGTAGAACAACAGGTATCAAGGTACACCTGGAACATATGGGCATACCACAGTTATAAAGAGCAGTATCTGAAGTATAAAGCCTAAGAACTCAGAGAATATACCAAACCAAGGCAGTACTTAGAATATTCTAGAGGCCCTTATGCCCCTCCCTTTGCCTATCAGACCACTGAAACAATGGATCATGTGGACTTCCCTAGGAATCTCATAAATGGAGAAGGAAAGTCTGATGCCTGGTCCACTGGAAGACCTTTCCTCCTAGGAATTGATTTTAAAAAGTTCTGATAACTCTTCAGACTACCCTGCATGAAAGATTGGAGCTAAAATGATGACTCCGTAGGTGCAACCACACTTTGACCAGTCTGCTTTCTCACAAAATGTTCCTTGCTCCCTGTTTAAACCTTATTTTCATGCTAAGGTCCTGAAGATGGACCGAGTGGAGTTTCTGTTCCTCTCTATGTATTCCTCTTCCTAATGTAGGCATATAGAATAGACTTTTTCATTGTCTCTTCAAGCAGGTGTTCGACTTTGCTTTTGATGTGTTTTGATAAAACATTCTGAACAAAAACAACTTGGGGAGAAAACAATTTTTTGACTTATGTTTCCCATCTTGGTTCATCACTGAAGAAAGCCAGCGCAAGAACTCAAGGCAGGGACTGAAACAGAGACCATAACAAAACACTGTTTGCTCCTCATAACTTGTTCAGCTTGCTTTTTTTTTTTTTTTTAATACAACCCAGGATCATCTGACTCAGGGATGACACCATCCACAGTGGGCTGGGCCCTCCCACACCAATCGTTAATCAAGAAAATGTCCCATAGACCTCCTATTGGGCAATTGGATGGGGATATTTTCTCAATTTAAATCCCCATTTTGGAGAGGACTCGCTAGTGGGTGTCAAGGTGACAGAAAAACCAATAAAGGTAACTGGTCTACCAGCCTTGTTGAATGGGATGCCCAGGCTCTGACTGGAACAACAGGACTTTGCAGTCACAAGCCTTAGAAAGTATAATTACTTGGAAAGTATAATGCGTGGAAGGTATAATACTTCCAAAATATATTACTTAAACACTTATGCCCAACTTTCAGCTTGAACTGGAGCGTGCTATTTGGCAGCTCATTAGTTCAGCCCTCTACACAAACACACAACAACTAGTACTCAAAAGGTTTTCCAGACCTTCAGGGTTGGTCTCAGTTGTGGTCAGCAGAAGACTGTTTTGGAGATGCCAAGGCCCATTTCGTTCTGCGTTTGAGGAGACTCCAGAAACTTCTGCCAAAGGCAGAGATTTTGTGGAGGGCTGGTGTGGACACAGGCTCATCCTCAGGGTGGGAGGTTCGGGGTGGGGGACCGAGGTTTGGGGCTCCCAGACACCACCGCCAACTTTGGGCCAATCAGCGTGGCCCGGTGGCCCCGGCGCCCCGCCGCTCCAGAGGCGTCTGCCCTGGCCAAGGAGGGGCCGGGCCGCAGGGAGCGGAGCCGGGAGGTGGGGATTCTGGGAGCAGAGCTCATTTCCTCCTCCCGGCCGCCCCTGGCCCGCACCCCATCTCCACGTGCGGCGCCCGGGGCGCGCGGCCGAGCGGCGGGAGGATGCTGGGCATGTACGTACCAGACAGGTTCGCCCTGAAGTCGTCCCGGGTCCAGGACGGGATGGGGCTCTACACGGCCCGCCGCGTGCGCAAGGTGGGTGAGCGGCCCGCACAGGCCGCGCCACGTCCCAGGGCCTGCGGGGAGTGCGGGCCTGCAGGGAGCGGGCGTCCTGGCTGCCCTCCGCGGCTGTGGCGTGAGGCTCCAGTGGGCCGCCGTTTCCCGGAGCCCGGCGCCGGGCGGCCTCAGCCTTCAGAACTGTCGCTGGGGTCATACCCCTCACTTCATATGCAGATGGGCCCGGCCAGCCTGGAGCCCAGTGCAGGCCCGGGAGCCTCAGAGAGGAGGCCCTTTAGCACTGCCACCCTGGGGTGATAATCTGCATTTTAGGCCTCTTTTCTTTGCTCTTTTGGATTTTATTCTGACTTTGGATCACCTTTTAGAACTGCACAGGCGTGCGATCGGTGCAAGCACAGGTTGCCCTGTCTGAGTGATGACGCACTGCAGATGTAGCCAGCTCTTTGCAGAGATGTAGAAGACAGGGTACCAGAGCACTACACATCTTAGGACATGGTGGCTTGAACTATGGTGGGTTAGCAGATATGAAATGAACCAGGGGGAGGCAGGACAGAAGCACCCAAAGTGAGCAGGACCAAGGTTCACCGAGCAGGGCCCATGCTTGGTACTTTGTCCATACATATCATTTGACTTTACCAGCTCAACACTCTCTGGAGCCAGCTCTTGGTTCTCATTTAACAGGTGAGCAGCAGAATTCTAAAGTTAAGCTTAAGAGGCTTCAAACTCATGGTTTCTGAATGGAAAGCGTATGTTCTTTTCAGAACATTCTGTTATGGAACAGCATGCTTTAGAATCCTTGCCCATGACACTTTCCCATCTTCCCCTCCCCACTGTTCAGGCTTTGCCTTGTTAGATACTTAAAAAAAACAGAGGCTCAGAAGATGCTTCTTGACACCCCAGTCTCAGCCCCTGATACAAAGAGCAAAGCCTAGTAGACTGATGAGTTTATGATGCGACCCACAAGAAGTTTCTATAGCCCAAATGGGAAAATAAAAACACAAACAAACAAACAATCTCTCCCCCCCCCACATCTTGACATTTTATTGTTGGCTATTTGGGAGGATGTTAAAATGTAAACAAGCAAAACACTGGAGTTAATACTTCATTCATCAATGAGTTGGATAGATGTTGCCAAATGACCAAATGTTAAAATCAACAGTCTTTCAAAGCCAAATACAACCATCATCAAATGACTCCCTTATGCCATTGACATTCTAGTTCTGTTTTTTAGTCTTAGCAGCCTGAAAAATGCCCAAATGGACTTTGCTTAAAAGTTTCTGGTATAACTATAATTAAAAACCGTTTCGTGCTCATGAGACACCAGAGTTGTTCAGCAGTAAGAACTATCACATAGTTCTTGTTTTGCATTACTCTGATGTTTTTTTAGTAGTTGGGCTGTGCATTTTCTTTTGAGTTTTTCACATGCTGGTGTTAGGAGTACTACTTGATGTGGGATGAGGTATCTCGAGTGATAATATCGCAGCATTGGTAGGTGCTCATGTCATGCTGCTAATGTAACTTTAATAGAAAACACAGATTTTTCACCCAGATTACATCTAGCATGCTGACTACGCAGAGCACTGCTTACAGTAAGTAATCTAGACTACTTTCCACAGAGTTGTTATCCCAGGAAATTCAATCAGAAGGTCATGGATGGCTTCACTGGTGGCTTTTCATCGGCTTTTGCTTTTCCTCCCCTAAACCCCGGGGGACAAAACTGAGTTCTAAGATCAAACTGAATGTTCTTACAAGAACACCTTACCCATTTCACCATGTCTCAGTTCTTTTTTCCAAGTCACCCATGTATGTCTTACCTGACCGAATCTCAAGAGATCTGAGAGATAATATCTGTGATTGGATCTGTGTTAAGGACCTCACTTAAAAATACTCTTGTTCTTCTAAACAGATTTTGGGATTTACCACCTTGAAGTGTGTGAAGTAGTTACAGATGTTATACTTTTATAGGAGGTGTGCATGTATAATACTTCTGTTGTACAATGTAATTAAAATTCAAGTTATCTGTTGATTTAAAGTTTGGAGACTAGAGTTCATAACAGGCTTGGAGAATCTTCCAGGAAGTGCCCTGTTTGTGTGTTCCCTGGCTTATTTGGGATTCCTTCCCAAAGGAACCCCTTACTTCTCTAGACACATCCCTTTGTGAATCATTTGCATTTCCTGCCTTCAGTTTCATCACATCCTGGCCCTGTAATGATACACCCCTTGCAAATGTACTGACTGGTGTTTTACTTTGTTTGCCTGTTTCATTGGTTCTTGGTTGTTTAACATTTGGGCATTGAAACCTGGGTGTGTTCCTTTAACCAGGGGAAGAGATGATGTGCTTTGGAGCAAGAGTAGGAAAGAGTAAACTCTATAGGTTCCAAATAATGGCATTTTAAAGAATGTCATAGGTGCTCTAGTAGACACATTGTCATAGCAAGCGTAAGAACTCCCAACCCCAGATATTTATAGCTACTACTAAGCTTCCTATGCCTCCCACAGTACCAACTGTTAACTCCCTGTCTTCCAGACTCAATCAGATGCTTATATCTGATGAAAAAATGTTAACGAAAATAAGTTTAATGTCCAGTTTGTAAGAATAGAATGAAAATTTAAAAAGCAAAGGAATTAAGACTGGGCTGGTTTAACCCACAGAAACAGTTGACCTGAACAAGGGGGAACTCTTGGACCCCAGATTGATGGCTGTATGGAGATCATGGGACTGACCCAGACCCCCTGAATGTGGGTGTCAGTGAGGAGTCCTAGGTAATTTATGGGGTCTTGTGTAATATTTATCCCTGGAATATAAATGGACTTTGAGTGCCCATCCCACAATGAGGGATGCTCTCTCAGGCTGGACTCTTGTGGGAAGGCCTAGGCCCTGCCCTGCATAAAATGATAGACTCTGGAGATCCACCATGGAGAGCCTCACCCTCCCTGGGGATCGGAGTGGAAACTGGGTGGGGGGCTGGGGAACCTGGTGGAGAGGGCAGGAGAGGAGGGGAGGGATAGGGAGCTGGGATTGACATGTGAAACAAGTTTGTTTCTAACTTAAATTTAAAAAAGGATAAAAAACACTGTAGCATGGAAGAAACTGTAACATGTAACTGTAACAAGTAATATGTAATAAAACTCCTTGGTTTGTTCTCTCTCTCTCTAAAAAAAAAGGAAAAATAGAAATAGATATTGCACCATTTACTGAAAAAAAAGTAAAGTTGAAAGTGTGTAGTTTAGAAGAAATTACATGATTAAAACAAAACCATCCAGTCAAACAAACAAAAATCCCCTGAAAGAGAAAAGAAAGGCAAGCAAAGAAAGATTACCATGTTCATACAGGAAGACTAGCTTTTGTGTAATAATGTGTTTTGCTAATTAGCTTAGAAGGTGACCCTTTAAGACAGATGGATTTTTATGCTAGGTCTGAAACTGCCAGTAGATGTTTATTTCATTTTCTAGTGGCTCATGGTAACTCACTAATCTGGAAATAGAGTCACTGTAGTGACACTGAATCCCTGTTTATACAGTCAGGTGTCACCATGGGGACCCATGGAGGCCTTATGTTTCCTTCTCTTCTTGCAGATTTTTAAAGGTACATCATAGATCCACTTAAACCGATGTTTTCTAAACTTTATATTTTGCTTTTGTGATGATAGCAGCTACCAATGCTTACATTTTTTAAACATTTAATACAGTTTAGCTAATGAAGTGTTTGTGAGGCTGTTGCAGTTGTTAGGAACTGTCCTTGTTACTGGAGACAGAGGGTGAATGACAGCAGTCAAGGATGCTTTCCTCAGTTCTTAGGCCATGTAGCAAAACCCTACTTCATAGTTGACAGAACTGATGTGAGGGAAAAGGTCTGTTCACACTAATGTGTTTCTTCAGAATTTGAACTCAGGTCCTTCCACATATGAGTTGGGCATTCCTAATATAAAATTGAAATGTTCCAAAACTGGAACATTTTGAGTCTGTATGCTAACAGAAATGGAACACATTATGTAAAGAGAAGCCTTCCTGCCAACCTGGTTCCAGAGCCGCACCAATCCCAAATGAACACACAGGAGGCTATATTAATTATGAAGCTGTTGGACTTGCTTGTTTCTTACTGGCTAGCTCTGACTTAAGTATTTATCCCATAATTGCTAATCTAAGTATTTCTCTTACCGGAGAGGTTTCCGGGCTTCCTACCCCATGGCATTACATCTTGACTCCTTGTGTTTCTCCTTCCCAGAGTCCTCCTGGACTCCTAGTCCCATCTATCTTGGTTCCCTATTTGGCCAACAGTGCTTTATTGACATACACAGAACTTCCCCAACATTTCCTCTTTTCTGTCTAAACAAAAAGAAAAGTCTTAACTTTAACATAGTCAAATTATATATAACAGAACAGCTATCAAGTAAGAACACAGTTACAATATTTTGTCTATCAACATTCAGCAAGGTTTAAAGAAAATATCATCCATCCCATTCTTGTGAGCCCAAAGTCCTATATGTAGCTTATCTTTTATCATAACTAAGGAAAACTATAACTATCTGTCTTCAACTCTATCAAAGACCATAGAAGGATAATATGTAAACACTAGAACTGACAGAGACATCTCACTTCCTGGACAGTCATCCGGAGTTCCTCTGTAATGTTGGGGCATCCATCTTTAGCCCATAAGGCCACAGTGTGTCTGGAAGACTTCTCAGCAAAGCAGGAAATTTCAAACTGTCCATCTGCATCAACAGTCTGTCAGTCATTTTTCTGTGTCCTGCCGAAAGTTTCGTAGACTCTTCCATGAAGCAGGAACCCTGAAGGACTGTTTGAGTTCAACAGTCACTTTTCTGTGGGTCCTGCATATCCAGTTTATACAGCAACAGTCAAACAGTCTAGGCATGACACTACATGTAGCCAGGCATACTAAAGTGTGTATGAAATTACCTTCAGACAATGTGTAAAGTGTACATGAAACATTCTCCATTTGGACTTGGATTTCATACCCACATATGTATATATCTATCTGTATCTATGTCTGTAACTAT